ACGGAAAGTATTCAGACCCCCTTAAAATTTTCACTCTTTGTTATATTGTAGCCATTTGCTAAAATCATTTAAGTTATTTTTTTTTCCTCATTAATGTACACACAGCACCCCATATTGACAGAAAAACACAGCATTGTTGACATTTTTGCAGATTTATTAAAAAAGAAAAACTGAAATATCACATGGTCCTAAGTATTCAGACTCTTTGCTGTGACACTCATATATTTAACTCATGTGCTGTCCATTTCTTCTGATCATCCTTGTGATGGTTCTACACCTTCATTTGAGTCCATCTGTGTTTGATTATACTGATTGGACTTGATTTGGAAAGCCACACACCTGTCTATATAAGACTTTACAGCTCACAGTGCATGTCAGAGCAAATGAGAATTATGAGGTCAAAGGAACTGCCTGAAGAGCTCAGAGCCAGAATTGTGGCAAGGCACAGATCTGGCCAAGGTTACAAAAAAAATTCTGCTGCACTTAAGGTTCCCAAGAGCACAGTGGCCTCCATTCCTTAAATGGAAGACGTTTGGGACGACCAGAACCCTTCTTAGAGCTGGCCGTCTGGCCAAACTGAGCTATCGGGGGAGAAGAGCCTTGGTGAGAGAGGTAAAGAAGAACCCAAAGATCAGTGTGGCTGAGCTCCAGAGATGCAGTCGGGAGATGGGAGAAAGTTGTAGAAGTCAACCATCCCTGCAGCCCTCCACCAGTTGGGGCTTTATGGCAGAGTGGCCCGACGGAAGCCTCTCCTCAGTGCAAGACACATGAAAGCCCGCATGGAGTTGTGAGATGGTGAGAAATAAGATTCTCTGGTCTGATGAGACCCAGATAGAACTTTTTGGCCTTAATTCTAAGTGGTATGTGTGGAGAAAACCAGGCACTGCTCATCACCTGTCCAATACAGTCTCAACAGTGAAGCATGGTGGTGGCAGCATCATGCTGTGGGGGTGTTTTTCAGCTGCAGGGACAGGACGAGTGGTTGCAATCGAGGGAAAGATGAATGCGGCCACGTACAGGGATATCCTGGACGAAAACCTTCTCCAGAGTGCTCCGGACCTCAGACTGGGCCGAAGGTTTGCCTTCCAACAAGACAATGACCCTAACAACTCTGTGACTGTTCTTGAATGGCCCAGCCGGAGCCCTGACTTAAACCCAATTGAGCATCTCTGGAGAGACCTAAAAATGGCTGTCCACCATCGTTTACCATCCAACCTGACAGAACTGGAGAGGATCTGCAAGGAGGAATGGCACAGGATCCCCAAATCCAGGTGTGAAAAACTTGTTGCATCTTTCCCAAAAAGACTCATGGCTGTATTAGATCAAAAGGGTGCTTCTACTAAATACTGAGCAAAGGGGCTGAATATTATGTACTATTTGATATTTCAGTTTTTTTAATAAATCTGCAAAAATGTCAACAATGCTGTGTTTTTCTGTCAATATGGGGTGCTGTGTGTACATTAATGAGGGAAAAAAATGAACTTAAATGATTTTAGCAAATGGCTGCAATATAACAAAGAGTGAAAAATTTAAGGGGGTCTGAATACTTTCCGTACCCACTGTATATAAAACCTTGCTACGTGTACTGTGTTAGGCTAACCGAGACTTGTCATTTACACTTACATATTGTTGCTCTTTTCTTAGTTTTGATTGCTTCTATTGTTCTCCTCATTTGTAAGTCGCTTTGGATAAAAGCATCTGCTAAATGACTAAATGTAAAAATAATAATAATATTTATTGATGCTAAAATTTTGAACTGTATTTTATATATGTAATATGTAATACATGATAATTAATTTAATATTTGGATTTCTTTCAAAAGAAATTGTGTATTGTCACAAGAAACTGGTCGTGTCATTATCAGCGCTTTCAAACAAAAGCAGACCATCGGTCCACCAGCAAACCGTTCAGTGGGTTTTGTAACGATGCTTGCCTAATTACAAGAGAAATGTATGTTTCTGGACTCACCCATGGGGCTGACCAGGACGATGCTCTGGACCGGAGCACACTGGCTCTTCAGAAGAACAGTCAGGAGCTTCACACCCCGCCAGCGCACGTGGAAGTCAAACTCCTACCGCAGGACACAGCAGGAGTAAGAGACAAGACAGAAGTTCTGGTGGGTTCAGAAGGTCAGTTCTGGCTCACCTCCAACAGCGTGAGGAGAAGAGTGATATTATCTGGTTCCCCGATGAACTCCTCAGTGAACCGAGCTCCCAAATCATCCTCCTGCTTCTGCTGGTTCTCCTCTGAGAGAGAAAATGAGATGCAGAGAAACCCATTCTTTGCCTTGTTGTTACTTTTGTGGGTTACTTTAACATAAAAAAAACGCAGGGAGGAACAGACAAAAGAGGAGATAGATGGGGAACGATATCAAAACTAATATATTATACTGTGTGCTAAAAGTGACCACACAAAAACTGCAAAGAGCCAGTAAAGGAACTATATCCAGTGCATATCTCATCAAGACTCCAGATGGAAAAGAAGTGTATTAATACAAAGAGCGATAGAAGAAAGCACATCAACCCACAGGCTAGGAAACTAGAGATAAAACCACACACCAGTTAAAGCTCCACCTCTCCCACACAGTGAAAACTTCATCACACTAAATGTTATTAATATTAGGACAAGACGTGCAGTTTTCTCTCCTGTTTCTAATAGAAATCTGCTAAATATTTGGTTTCCTATATTCAGAGGGAACGTTGCATCAAATCCAATTATTACTCAAATCAATGTTGTTTATTAATGCACAATGTTATTTATTTTATTCTTATGTAATCAGTGCAGTGGCTCAGGCTTTGTTAGAACAACGCTGCAAGATCTAGAGTTTCTAAATGCTGCTGTTTTCTGGAACTGGGAAAGCGGTCGAACTCGCTGAGCATCACACGCATAGCGCTCATCAACCCACAGGCTAGGAAACTAGAGATAAAACCACACACCAGTTAAAGCTCCACCTCTCCCACACAGTGAAAACTTCACACTAAATGTTATTAATATTAGGACAAGACGTGCAGTTTTCTCTCCTGTTTCTAATAGAAATCTGCTAAATATTTGGTTTCCTATATTCAGAGGGAACGTTGCATCAAATCCAATTATTACTCAAATCAATGTTGTTTATTAATGCACAATGTTATTTATTTTATTCTTATGTAATCAGTGCAGTGGCTCAGGCTTTGTTAGAACAACGCTGCAAGATCTAGAGTTTCTAAATGCTGCTGTTTTCTGGAACTGGGAAAGCGGTCGAACTCGCTGAGCATCACACGCATAGCGCAGGTTTTCTGGAAGCACAGATGGCTGGGGTTAGACAGCATCATGCACACAAAAGTGCTTTACCTTCAGAATCTTCTGGTGGATTAAACATGGAAAGAAAATAGAGGAGGATCAGATCAAACATAAACTGCAAGAGGAAGACTAGTATCAGACTGAAACCAGGCTTACGGACTGCAAGAACAACTACAAGAAAGATACTCATTTGGAATAAAAGCTGACGATGTGAATTAGCCTACGGACATTGAACAAATCAATTAAAATCCCACCATGTCCACATCTGAACCAGACAGAATAAAGCATATAAACATACCTGGCTCCTCCTCTTCGTCACTGCAGACTATATTGTACAAAGTGTCCAAAGCGTAACCTAGGATTTCAGTGTCTGTCCTGTTTGAAATAATCACCAAACACAAGTCATAATGTGTGATAATTAACAGCTGTTGTTTTTTTTTTACAATGAATGTAATATTTTTGAGACATACCGGTCACTCTGGAGTATTCGAAGCAAATGGTCCATAGCCATTGTGCCGACCTCCACACGGTATTTCTGCAATCAAACATCTACTTTACACATGTTCTACAAACAACTTATTCCTATATCTATATATATATAATCACATCACCTTTAAGGCATGTTTGTGATGTGAAATACACGCTGCGGTTTCAGTAAGCATATAAACTACCGTGATATCAGGCTTCTCTGATGTTCAATTTTACAGCATTTGTTTGACAATCTTTTAATGCATAGCTTTCCACCCACAATACCTCTATTGCAAACATCAACATGAAAAAAGCATGAACCTTGGACAGAGACTTGATGGCACGGACTGCATCTCTCCGGTCCTCCAGCAGGGTTGATGAAGCCACGCGGTCACACAGTTTCTGAATCTGACGATAAACACAGCGAGTGAATGCCCCGACACTGCGTTAACATGATCCACACAGAAAAACTGCAGAAGAGACTTCCTTGAGTTTCCATCAGGTTTCAGCATTTACATCAACACTGTCTGAGCTGGGAGTGTCATACGGAAGTGTTTTGAAACCCTGATTCATGTGCTTTCTTATTTATTTATTCATATTTCAATGACTGTGTGAATGTGCACGCACACACTCACTCATTCACACACACACTCTCACTCACTCTCACTCACTCACACATACACTCTCACTCACTCACTCACTCACTCACACACACACACACACACACACACACACACACTCACACACTCTCACTCACTCAC